TTTCTGCATCAATTGATATGATCATGTGGTTCTTCTCCTTTGTTTTATCAACTTATGTTTCTTATACACACTGTGACAGCACTTTCACAAAGTCTATACCGATTAACTCTTGAACCAGTGTCTTCTCAGCACTGAGTACATTGAAGCAAAAGAAACACCTAGCAAATTAGAGCAATGAAAAAAATGGCATGTAAGCTAGATAAGTTTGTGTTTTTGACTACTCTTTAAAATTCTTTTTTTTGTTTAGTTTTTTTCTCTTTCATGCAATTTTTGTTCTTAGCTTCTATTTTCCTTTGTGGATTTTGATATTTTTCTTACAGATTTTAGTGTTCCTCATATACATTAACTAATTTTCCTTTATTATCTATGGTAAAAATTATTCTACTTTGCTGCTGAAATGTCAATTTTCTTTTTGACATGTTGAAGATTAACATTTGTATGCAAATTTTCTGCAGTTTGTGCATGCCTCTCTTACCTCTCTGTGTTTGATTTCTTCTCTTGATTTTATGTTTACAATATCCATCACTGCCCAGAAGTCATATAATTATGAACACATTTTTTCTTATAGTTTTTCTTTTTTTTTTAAATATAATTTAGGGTTTCTTTTCTTTTCTTTTCTTTTTAAAAAACACTAACTACCTGAACCACCTTTTAGTTAGGCATTTCCCACTTTCTTCTAGGAGCTTAACATTTGTTATTGTTATATAATTAATAATAACAGTAAATGTAGCAACACCTGGCATATGCATCACATCTCTCCAAGGATTTTCAGATAAACTATCTAACTGGATCCTTAAAATAATCTTACAAAGTCACAGGGATATCCTGAAAGGAGGAGGCAGATGAAGGGGAAGGGAAGATGAAGAATGGAGGGAAAAAGGGTAATTACTGCAAGAGACTTCTTGCAAGTCAGTCTTGGAGAAACCCAGGGCCAGAAGTCAGGCTTTCTGACTAACAGACTAGTATTTCCATTATCTAATTATGAAAACCTGCACTGGAGAAACATGTCTTCAATGAGCAGGAAACCGATTCCAAGCAAAGTCTGAAAAAGAGATTCTTTGAGACACGTAGATACATATTTTCTCATATACTCTACATTTACTATTAGAAATGAGAACACTTATTTTTCAGTTTTCTGTCTTTAGGGTTTACAGCTTTAGGGAAAAATATGATTGCTTGTGGATGCTAATGGTTTTGCCAGAGTAGGCAGCAGTATTGTTGGCTGTAAAGTTTTAATAAGCAGTATCAAGGTTCTTGCTGCAGGTACTTCTGCTCATCAACAAGAGCACTGGGGGAGGGGTGACTGATAAGTACACATTGATGTCTGTAACCAAGTTATGTTGAAATGAGACAATTCAGCAAGCAAGATAAGCAGGGCTGAGGCTGATGGCAGTGAAGATGGTCCAAATGCCTGTTTCTAAACTGCTTTCCCTGATAAACTAGCCAACGGGCAGGATTGTTGTTGCTGTTGCTGTTAGGTGCAATCGAGTCAGCTCCGACTCATAGTGACCCTATATACGACAGAACAAAACAGTGCCCGGTCCTGTGCCAGCTTCACAATCCTTGCTATACCTGAGCTGATCACTGCAACCACTGTGTCAATCCATCTCGTTGAGGGCCTTCCCATTTTTCATTGACCCTCCACTTTACTAAGCATGATATCCTTCTCCAAGAACTGCCCTTTCTGACCATGTGACCAAAGTAGGTGAGACAAAGTCTGCCCATTCCCGCTTCCAAGGAGCATTCTGGCTGTACATCTTCCAGGACAGATCTGTTAGTTCTTTTGGCAGTCCACAGTACTTTCAGTATTTTTCACCAACAGCACAACTCAAAAGCATCAACTCTTCTTCAGTCTTCCTTATTCCCTGTCCAGCTTTCACATGCATATGAGGCAACTGAGAATACCATGGCTTGGGTTAGGTGCACCTTAGACTTCAAAGAGACATCTTTGCTCTTCAGCACTTTAAAGAAGTCTTTTGCAGCAGATTTGCCTAGAGCAATACTTCATTAGATTTCTTGACTGCTGCTTCCATTGGTGTTGATTGTGGAACCAAGTAATATGAAATCTTTGACAACTTCAATAAGGTATGAATAAATGAGTGTGAAAATGTCTTCTGCTACTTTAGCGTCTGCCTTAAGAAAAAGCAGGCATGGGGGTATTCTAAGGCTTTCTGGTGGTGCAGTGGTTAAAGCATTTTGCTGCTAACCAAAAGATCAGCGGTTCAAACCAACAGCTGTTCCATGGGGGAAATATGAGGCAGTCTGCTTCTGTAAAGATTTATAGACTTGGAAACCCTATAGGACTGTTCTACTCTGTGCTTTCAGGTTGCCATGAGTTGCAATCAACTCTGGCTGTGGATTTGGGGTATTTTAGTCTTTCACTTGCCTGTTATAATTATTGCTTTGGTGCTAAATACTTTTGGTCAATTTCCATTTATGGAATATCTGTTAAAAAGGAACAACTGCCAGAAAAAAAAAAAAAATCAGTTACTTTCAGCTAAATAAAATCTAATCTGTGGGCTTTCATGAATACTTTATTCAGCAAGTTTTGCTCAGAGACACAGGCTGTATCTATGTTTCCTTTTAATGAGTCCTAAACAGCCAATCAAATGAGAAGCAGGACTCCTCTGCATACTGTCCTGTGGAGTTATAGAACAAAATATCACTTTGGATGTGAGACAGAAGTTTCCATCCTTTGGAAGTTAGAACTTTTGCAAGACAAAAGATTCTGCCTAAACAAGGGTTATGAAACTTGCCTCAAAGGTGACACGGAAAGTAGTAGAGACCTTCATGAAGAATCAGTTACCATTTTTTGTTTTTATTCTCAAAAATTTTGAAGTCTGCAGGAAATGTTTAAGTTTTCTTTTTTTTTAAAAAAAAACCTACCAGAAGTACACTTATATAAAAATAGCTAGAGGCACAGTTTTCCACAGTTGAATTGCAAAGCAGATTGATCATGGAAACGCTGACACAAGTGAGTATGTGCCCCATTTTGCCTTTCATTAGTCTGGAAGTGTCACTCATTTAAACAAGCATGAGGCAAGGCTAAATTTCTCAGTCTCCACTGGTAACTGCTGATTTATACTTTGTATTTTATAACTGACATAGAGTTAGCAAAACTGGCGAGGGCAGACTCCATATGACTTAGCATAGGGTCTCCATTGCCTTGGTGATGTTATCCAGTGACCTTCACTCTCTGGCTTGGTCTTGGGCAGCACGGGTCAGTGTGTGTGTGTGTGTGTGTGTGTGCACATGCATGTCTACTCTATTCTTTCTTGGGCTCTTTCCCTTCTTTCTTTAGGCCTCATCTGAACCTTTCAGACAGTAGGGAATCTCTCCATGGGCCAGGACACCCTTCTCTGGTGTTTCTCCTAGCCAGTATCAACAGTTTTATGTGCTGGTCATTCTCATTATCTTCAAAAACCACCTGTTCTGTGCTCCACTCTTCTTTTGACATTGCTAGGAAACTGGCAAGCTAATCTGAAAACTAATTTGTGCTCATGAGTTTAATGGGTTTGCCTGCCAATTTAATCAGATCCTGAATATCTTCATCTAAAGGTTGCCTGCCACTGGGAAGGGATATTAGTGTCTTGTCAGCACATATAAAGCCCCCATTCTCCCAGGGGTTGGGATTCAGGAATGATAATAGTCCTGGTGGTCAATAGATAAAGTCATGGTTTTACCCTTCAATTACATGTTGGATTTGGAACATGGAGGATATGTCTTCTATTTCAATGATCTAGCAAGCTCTATAGGAGCTCTGGTAGCATAGTGCCTAAGGCACTTGACTGCTAACCAGAAGGCTGGTGGTTCAAACCCACCAGCCACTCCTCGGAAGAAAGGTTGGGCAATCCTACTTCCGTAGTGATACTGCCTTGGAAACCCAAGGAGGGGTCGCTATGAGTCGGGGCTGACTCGACAGCACATAACAACAACAACAACAACAGCAAGCTCTAGCATATATTTCATTTAATACACATACTTAACCAAACCGAACCAAACTCACTGTCATCGAGTTGATGCCGACTCATAGTGACCCCCTTTGGGTTTCTGAGGCGGTAAATCTTTACAGAAGTATTACTAATCAGTAATGCAAGTTTTCATTGAAGTCAGTGGGTTTGGGGTTTTTCAATGCCAATTCTGCATAAACTGGACTCTTAAAAGCTGTCTGATGCTCACTCATACTTCAGTTTTTCTATGAGTTCCAGTGTTTGTTTGTTTGTATTTCTACTTTGCTAAATACAAATTGGTAAGACTGTAAACACATTAAAAATTTTGTAAACCAATCAATTTCAGACAAATCAATTAAACTGCATTTCAGATTATTCTTATCTTCTGCTTAACTTCTGGCTAAGGATGGCTATGCCTGTTTTTAGTTCATACCAACTGTACAAATTCAGGGAAAAAGTACAGAACAAAACAGCAAGGCTTCCCCAGTGATTCACATGCAATTTGAGAATAGAATATATTATTAAACTGTATTTGTAAAAAGTATCAAATGTCCATAACTTTACTGGCTATAAAAAGTAAAAACAGGATCATTATTATTGTAATGAAAACATTCTAAAGGAATGCTGGAACTAAATGGAGAGAAAAAGCAGGACTAGAGTCCTATAGAATTGCTGGTTCTTACCAAATCTCCCGAAGGAACTTCAGAATAGCCCTTGGGAGTCACAGTTCCAGTAAGACAGCTTTTCCTATTTTTTTTTTTTTACCTTAATAAATCCAATTTATTACACCTTGCTTTTTTCATTGAACAGTATACCTTGTTTTATACCAGTACCTAAATATTTGTCACTTTTCTTTTTGGCAACTGCTAATAAATTTATTGCTTACTCCATATGCCATGTGATCTATGTGCAATTTGATCCTTTTTTTTTTTTTT